TTAATTATTATTATTATAATTATGGGGCTATAATAATAATATTACTTCATTTGGGGACATGATTTGTTTCCATTGTTCTGGGAGGTGATGTCAGGAAATCAGTTTGCTGGTACCAAGCTCGCAGTGAGGTCAGCAAAGCCTGCATGAAAGTCCCAAGAGCTGGCTCTCATCTGCCTCTGAAACACGGCTGCACCAAAGCCACAGGAAGTCCTCTCGGCATTAACTGGTGGAAAAAGACATTATTGTTGGAGTATCTTTACATGAGCGGAAGTCTGTTCTCTATGCATCCAGTAAACCACCTGAAAAGGTTCAGAGGTCGAGCTTCATATATTTAATAGACTCAGAATAGACAAACACCATTACTGACAGATTGGCAGCTCTAAGCACTATGCACAGGGTCTCTCCCAGGAGTAGATACACGATAAATACACTTAAATACACAGCAAGTGTATACGCACAGGTGCACTTATGCTGATGTTGTTTTGGTACAAATTTAACAGAGCTAGATTAAGACAACATGTATTGTTTCAATAAAAGCTGGGTTAGATCTGTTCCAGGTTGCTTTACTCTGCCCTGCTTGTAAAAACATTATCTGAAAAATAAAGACCGGAATCGAAAACAAGCCTCCAAATTCCTGGGATTCGAGGTATCCCATTTTCAAACCCTGCAATTGTTTTGCATGACCTAAACGCTCGTCCCAAGCACAGTACACAGAAAAAAAGATGCTCGTATAATCCCTCAAAGATTATAAAACGGATGTTGTGTGCTTTGAACATAAGCTGCCACACCCACATTTAAAAAAGCAGCACTGATTCTAAAGAATCAAGTGAGCCTACCCTGTGTGTCTCCAGTTTTGATACATTAAAAAATAGGGCACTGAGCCACACCAATTCAGTTGAGTACAGCCAAGGTTTTGAAGTAGATAAAGGGAGGTACAGTAGATAACCTGTTTTTCGGCACGTGACTTAAACCTCACAGGATGGCTGAACTAAAGATATTTCTGTGAAGACGTTCAAGTGCTGTTCAACTGCTGGAAATGCATTAAACAAAGCCTGAGCAAGAGACCCACGATCTACAAATCCTGCAAAAACTATTGCAACACTGCGTTATCGAATTCCAAATCCAAGTATTTCCTTTTAAACCTCCGATGCGTGCTTGAGTGTGCAGAATTGTTCCGAAAAATATTGCAAATTTCATGCACGCGCACACAATTGATATATTTACCAGTTTCTACAGTACCTCCCTCTACTGCAATAAGTACCTGCAATTTCCCTTTGTTTTCCTAATCCACTCATCAAACCAGTCTACCGTACAAGTTATACAGCAGAGCCTTCTCATACAGGTGGAAGGCTGTAGATCCAGGAGGGCAGGCAGGTATTTATGAGCCCCAGCAGGACGTGCCAGGACAGAGTCCACTTCATCTTTGGCCTAACCTGGATGATATCAATTAAATCATTACCTATTCAGATACTGTAGGTTTTGTTGTGTAAAACATTTTGTAATGTTTTAATTACACAGAAGTGAATTGGAGGCTGTGGGTAAGAATAGCAGTGCATGTAGTGCCGGATTCCTTTCTAAAAAACAGCATTGTTATAGCAATCAGCAAACTAAGAGAATAACAAATAGACTACTTTATACTCATTATTTGTTCAGTGATAGAAGAGGTACAAGCAGATGTGGGAATGGAAGTGCAGGTGAACAAGGGGCTGTATCAGTTTTGGTTTTTGGAGCACATAACACAGAGCTGTTTTAAGGCCTGAGTAAAAGGAATTTTACTTTGTCCAACTGAGTTATTAAGGAAAAACTTGTAAAAAAATAAACCTGTATTATACAGTAACAACATGATGTTTTTACTTGTTTTAAGATCTAAATCATGCTGATAAGCATACCACTGGAATGACGGCTTTAGTGTTTGAACTTATAACAGTGCTTAAAAAGTGTACTGTGCTACATAATGCAGTTAGTGTACATAGTATTCATTAATGACAAACACTGTAGAACATAAAGCATTGAAGCATGGTAAATGTGCAATGACTGTACAGGAAGACAATAATTGAAAAGTGACTTTTAAATTTACATATCTAAATGTTGATAAGGGGGGTCAAGATATTTAGACTTTATCCCAGAGGTTCAATGATTTTATCAATGAGTTTTGTTTCTCACTGGCCTAGAACCTTTGGAATTAGATATTTATTAGGTTTTGTGTTTTACCTATAGGTGAGTTTTACTGGCCTGGTGACATTCTTTGAGGTGCATTTTTTTCAGAGCAACCTGTGTTGTGTTTCCATTCCCACTGGTAAAGAAGCCAAAAAGCAGACTGAATCCATGGTATGGTGTCAAATGCAAGAGTACCAAGACCAGTAGTTCTAAACAACTTCAATAACCCTTTCCTTGCGGATCACTTAGTACTGCTTATTACAGAATAACAAGCAGCTCCATTTGCCAGTTCATTCTTTCAAGTGTAGAAGCTTGGTGGGACGTCATTTACAGAGAAACTAGGTACTTTGCAGAGATTATGATGCCTGGTCATTTTTTAAATGTTAAAAGGTAAATGTGTTCTGAATATGCTGGAGTGTTCAGTGTTGCATCTAATGTCAAAATGTGCTTCCTTGCTAATTCACAACTTTACTTGCTTTTCAGTTGTATCTTGGAGGTCATTTGAGAAAAAAAGATCTAGTCCCATCTGTCTGATAGACGTGTAGCCCAATTTCTTCATGATTAGGAACAATATCAGCACCTTAAATATCATACAACCTGAAAGAATTCTTGTACGTACCACAGGTCTGTAAAAAGACAGTGGTGATTACATGCTGTGATGACTCATTTGTTCTTTTTTTTGCCTTGGCATTCCAGTAATGAATGCATCCAGTCACTTTAAAAAGTCACGTTTCCAAAGGGTGGAAACCGCTCATGGAAGTCTGGGCAGATGCCACATGACTGAAAGGGGGGAGTAAATTCAGGAGAGCTCCTGACCTGGAGAGAATCCTCACTTTAATTACCTGGAGTGTTTGGTTTGAGAAAATAATTGGCATAATGAATTAAAAATTATATGCAAGAGACAAATGGGAGGGTTGTTAAAGTTACAAAATTATAGGGCTGATTATGGTGTGACGTTGTTTTGCCTGCTTCTTTCAAAGGTATCAGGCTTCAAACAACGAGAACTATATTCTATTTTCTTTCCATTTTCAACCAACTGGTTACACAAGACTCCTGACACTGTTGCTCTTAAACTGGAAAATGCAGAGACATGTTTTTGCACACACCTTCTTATATAATAGCATGGAGCTCCACAGATTTCAGAAAATTGGATTTCTAATCGCATTTATTTGTAATACTGCTTTCTGTCCTATTGATCAAAATATCTCAACAATAAAATATAAAACACAATGTATTATTGAATGGAACTTTAAAAGGCAAGTAATGCAGATGAAATGTAAATGTGGAAGTTTCTTGAAGTACTTCTATTGAAAACAAGCCCTGACTGAAGTCATTTTGGATAAAAAAGTTGCCGATTTCTCACTAAAGGCTTCTTTCCTGTCTGTTATGTAATTCTAAGGCATAATCCCTCCTATTGAAAGGGAAAGAATTTATGTGTAACCACGGCTTTAGATTTAATAAGATTAACAAAAAAATGTTTGAGGTACTTTAATGGGAGCATCTGCACTTTAGTTTTCGTGGACAACCAATTCTTAAGTCTCTTAGACACAATGGCCTGCTGCTTTTAAGTATTAGTACGTTGGTGGCTTACGGTAAAGCTTACATGAGTTTGCGTTTGTAGATTTTTAAGAATCTTAATGATATTTTAAGCACTTGGATATCCAGTATAGAACAATTTATCAATATAACAAGAATAGTAATAGGATGGTCATTTTGGGCACACCATTTGCCTACAGGTATTTCACCTGAAACCCTGCCATTGTCACATCATGTTGAATGAAATGCTTCCAAGCCTTTAATTATTCGTTTTAGGGATCTTGAGCCAGAAGAACTGGAAAGATGGAGCCAAGTGAATGACAGGCCTGTGTTTGGTGTGGCCCTTGTCTACCTGCTCTGTTCAAAGGTGAACAGGTTTCAAAGCAGCAGGCCCCTGCTGTGGCCAGCATGTCCAGAACAGGCTGCCAAAGGCTAAGGCCTAGCCCTCCAATGGGCACCCCGCTGGTTCAGAGAGGAACCAGCCCACGTCTCTCTCCAAGGGCTGGGTAAACACTCTGAAGGGCCTCTATTCTAATCCCGTATAGAGATGGGAAAGTGGAGAATAAGAGCACCAGGTAGTAATGGCTGTGTCAAAGGAGAGATGCCTTTCAAAGGGACTGTTAATGAGTACTAACATTTTTTAAAAGCTGGTTTACCTCCATTTGTAATGCTTTTGAACAATACAGATTTTTCTATATCAGATGGATTTATATGGATATAATATGGTAAGAGTTCTGATTATGCACATCCAGTAGATATATATACTGCATACAGAAAGCTGGAGAAAGAAAAAGTGTTCTAAATAGAGTTCTGCAACACAGAATCTCAAGTCACCAAGGTGTCAAGTCTCCAAGACTTTGGAAAAAAAAACGTTTGCATAGAGACATTTCCGTTTAAAGTCCCAGAACACAAACGGAGGCTGTGAAGCAGTGCAAATATTAATACAAGAAATAAACCTAGAAACCTTTGAAACCTAGACATATGTTTGAATCCCTCATATAACGGAAAGCAAGAGTCATTCACTCACCTGCAAATCTAAAGTACTTTGAAGGGGTAAAGTGTCATGCATGAGCTTCTTATTGCCTGACCTCTGTATGTCCAGTGTTAATTTAATTAAGAACAGAAAAGGCAGCTGAAGTTCTAGACTGCTGTGCTGGTGTGTCCTGGGCTACCTGCTCTCAGGTTGATTGGACTAGCCCCCTACTGGGTTGTGTGCTGGCCCAGAGTTATTTACCTGAAGAGCAGGCCAAAGGCTAAGGCGGGTCTATGATGGTAATACCCTGCTGAGGCCCATAAACACCAGCCCTCCTCTCTCAGTGGGAGACTCAATCAGGCAGACATTTCCAGACAAGCAGGTCCCAGGGTTCGGAAAAGCCAGCTGGGAAATAGCCGAGGAGGTAAGTGGAACATCATAAGGAATTTCTCAAAAAATCGCATTGAATTACATATACAGTATGAGTGAATAGGTGTGTGATCAATCCTCATCACAAAAAAGAAAGATTCTTCACATCCTTTGAATATAGTTTTCCCACCAGCCATATTTTAAGTTGAATAAACTAATTTTAAATATGAACATTTTAAAAAGGATCAAATGTCACATTTACAGACAATAAGACTGAATTTTCATTTACTATTTGATGGATTTATACTGTGCCGAGAACAATTTTCAATTTGTCTTTTGTACTTGTAACATGAAGAAGGCAGTCGTTAACTCTATGCAATATGCTATTTAATAAGCACATTTTCCTATTCAATTTGCACATTAATATGAATGCATATCCAATGTAATTTAGTAGAAAAACTGCAGTATCCCGCCAGCCTTGCTCATCCAGACAGATACCTTCTATTTCAGTGTTTCTGTAGTTAGAAAAAGATTATTTTATCCACTTTCTCCACAGGTAATAAAGAATTAAAACACTCTAGAGTGATGGACAGAAAATTAATTTTGTTGTATTATGGAATTTAGAATGATAAATTGCTTACATTAAGAAATAATTGTAGGGTTATAATCAAAAGCCATGATGTAATAATTTTAACCTTGTTCAATGTCATTTTCTTTGAAACCCTTTAGAATACTGCTTTTATTCTGGCCCTACAGCTGTGTCTTATAGTACCTGCGCAATCTACAATAAAGTTTCATATACAATAAATAAGGAAAAATGTATGTGAATTTGCTTAGTTATGCATTAAAGGCACTTTCAGAAATGTGAACTTTTAATCTAATGTTTTTGATGCATGAAATGATTGGAAGGTTTTATTTTGGGGAATATTTTGTAATTTATTGTTCATTGATTTGAACTGATTTTTGAACAGACAGGAAAAATGATTTGCTTTGCAGGTCCAATCACATATTTTGCTGTGTTTTATTACAGTGTCACTAATGCATCAATGCAGGACAGCAGTCCTTCTCTGCTGAATAGCACTCCTAGCAATTTACAGTTTGGCAACAGTAAGAAAAGTCTTCTCTACAGAAACCTGCTTTGAAAAGCAGGCGTTTTTTTTCCTCTATTTGTGTTTTTCTTTTTCAGTAAATATTTAGCCATTCTGTATTGCAGGAACACAAACAGCACAGGGGATTAAGCCTATGGCTGTTGCCGACAGTATTTGCCTAATTCTAACAGTTAAAAATGGTGTGTTTGCACAGTTAATCTAGGCAACTATTACATAAACTATTTTTTGCAACACCAAATCCTCTGCTTAGGAAGTGGAAACGTGTACCTTTGTAATTGGCTAAAAAGGCTGATGTTTTCTAATGAGGTATTTGTGTATGTGTGCAAAACATGATTCAGCAAAAATGATGATGTGATCAATTTTACAGAGCAGTGCAAATGTTATAAAAGGATCCATGGAAGTAAAGAAACATTTTTCACATGCAAATATGAAATTTGAGAGACTAAGTGTTTTAAATATATAACTAGAAGATGCATAATGTACAGTGCCCTAGGAAGGCCTTGTTTAGAATATTCTGTATCTCTTTAGGCATCACATTATAGTAAAGATAGAGAAGAAAGAAGAACAACCTTAAATATTCCAGGACTTAGGGGAATGTTCTACACTGACAAACTTTTCGATCTTGAACAAAGAAGACTAGGATAGTACCTGACTGAAGTTTACAAAATCCTCAAAGGCACTGACAAAGTCATCACAGTGGATTTCTTCAGAACGATGACGAAGTGCATTTAAAACCGAGAAGAAAGATTCCTTTCTTTATCCAAACGTTGTGGGAGAACGGAACTGGATGCCTGGCCATTTTGTTAAAGCCAGTATCCTGGCTTTCAAGAAAAAGCTGGATGAGATCCTTGAATCGGTAAGCTACTAAAAATCTAATCAGACAATAAAAACAAGCTACAAGAGCTAAATTACCTCCCCTCATTTGTAGCCTTTCTTATGCTTGTAAGTAACAAGTACTTGTAAGCAATGTCTGTAAGAGTTATGGTTCACAATACTGCTGGCTGTCCTTACAAAAATATCACTTGTACAAGAGAAAAATTGACAATATTCTGTAATGGCCAAAACACAAAGATACATGATGAATTCAATGAAAACACAATCAAGTGTTATTTCTGGCCTAGACCCCTCCAAAGATATATACATATTTTTTTAAAAATAAGATAACTTTATTGGCCATATACAATTTCTTGTATTAGGAATTTGTCTTTTTGCATACGCCAGCTTGCTCTCCAACAGACACACAGACAGGGAGAGAAGCTTGGAGTCAGGGCGCAGGGTCAGCCATTTATACGGCGCCCCTGGAGCAGTTGGGGTTAAGGGCCTTGCTCAGGGGCCCAATGGAGTAGGATTCCTCTGCCGGCAGTGAGATACGAACCAGCAACCTTCCAGCCACAGGCGCAGATCCTTAGCCACAGTGCCACTGCACCACCCATATCTATAAATAGATATATAAATATCTATAATCATTTACTGTTTCATTAATACAAAAAATTGCGAAATAACTGGCATGTCAAAAAAGCTTGCAGGTTAATTACGCACAAGAGGATCAAACCTAATGGGCCAGGACCCATGCAATGGGATTTGTGTGTCTTGTTCGGATGGGCAGAGCACTGGAAATGTGGGCAGGCAGGTATTTACACAGCTCAGCTGGACAAGCAATTGAGGCTTCTTTGTTGCCTGTGGAACAGCCAGTGAGGGGTCATTAGACCCCAGCAGGGGATGGGCCATTTACAGAGGCAGGGCAATGCCATTAACCAGCACAATTCAGGTGCCACTGTTTCTTGAATAGACACACTGAAGAATCCCCAGATCCTCTTTAAAAAAAGTTCAGTCCTAATGATCTTTGATGCAGGTAGATAACTAAAAAAAACCAAAATATATAAAACTGCAGTACAGTGCACGTATTTTGGAGAAAGGATAAGTGGAAGTCAAGCCTAAATTCTATCATTACTTTTGGTATACAAAAAACTGCTCTGTTTGCACCTGAAGGAAAAATGGTTGTTTTTGTTATATCTCCGATTTAGTCAAGTACTCGAAATTCCAGTATTATATGCCGATTCAAAAAGGTGTACAGCATAAGCTCAGATTGAGTGTGCTATATCTATACTACCAGTAGAGATTCTCCTCCACTAGATTGTGCTGATATCCATCATTGTATGATGATTCACTTTCCTGAACTTTGTGTTTTTTATGTACTATATAAAATTATTTAATTATGTTCCCACAATCAGTAAACATGTAGGGGACACACTGCGCTGTCCTGTTACACATCTCTGGCCAATGTTATGACTAGTTATTCTTTTACTCTTTTCATGATGTTACGATTAACTATTTAATAGTCTTTTTTTCTTTTTGGCTTATTGTTGTACACATTCTGTACTGTAAATTTAAATAATTTTAACACATAACCCATACAATTATTGAATTGTATGAGCTGCCAATCATGCAGGTATAGGGCTCCTTTTTCTTAGCCTTCACTGACAGTTCTGGTTCACTGTCCCCCTAAACCTTTTACTAGGTTTGTACCTGAGTTGTCGCATCTCAGCTCTGATCCTGCCCTGCAATTGTTTCAATATACAGGATTCTTCAAACTGCTCGGCTAATACCAATTTCAGCTTTACACAGCATGTCATATCATGTAAGCGCAAGCATATGTTAGACATATGTTGTTCCCAGCTTACAAACATTTGAACTGGGCATTTCCAACCACAAGGCTAATTACTGGACCTAACAGTTCCTCCAGCTCTTATCAATAGTAAACAAAATGTGACCTTCTATAGGCTGAATGTAGCGAATTTAACTAAATTGGAGGAGTGGTTGACAAAACTCATCTTAGCGTAGCTCAATCTGTTGTGCTCGAAAATCCTTGTGATCTTCACAAATGTCATCCTCACACAAGTCATTGGTACTGTAGCTTAGCTCCTACAAAAGCTTGTTTCATTTCTTTCGCTTGCTCTTTCACCAGGTACACAAATGAACAGCAATTTCCGAAGGCAGCAGAATGCTGTCTTGAGTCCATAGATCGCAAGATCTTGAGTCTGTAGAGTAAGATGGGTATTGTGGACAACATCAGCATCAATGTCTAATAGATAGGGGTAGTAATATTCCCACAATCCTTCTCTTCAACAATTCTGAACTGCATTGGTCCCCTGTAGAGGGACATGTACTGTAGAGCTGCCTTTGAGTGTTTCATGCTTTTTCAAGTTATCACAGACATTGTACATGAGTATGGTCAACACTCAATCTGAGATCTGCTGATTCAGACTTTTTCACTCTGGTGAAGACCAGGCGATGGACAACAGTGCTCATTACAGACTTTGTGACTGTCAAGATCTTTCACTAAAACATATTATGTATAGTTTAGCTTTAGCTTGATCAGTTTGCTGTGTTTTATTTCCACTCATCACTTCGGTGACTTGTATTATGTTTGCTGCTGTACAGTGCTGTGAGTTTCTTGAAAGTCCTCCCTAAGTTAATGTATTAAAATGTATGATCATTAATGACCATAATCATTATCATCTTCCCATTAGGAAATAGATTTGTAACAGAGGTAATGTGTTTCTTTTTTGTGTGCGGTCCATGCATTCCTAAAATATGCATCTCAAAGCTCCCAGACAGATGAGTTTTTGCTGTGAAGCTATGAGCAATGACATCCCATGCTGTTGTCTAGCTGCATGCCTCTAGCAATAATAACTGCTCCACAGAAGACTGGAGCCCTGTCTGTTTTTCCTGAAGGGTGTGGTTGTGTCATGCCCCACTCAGCTGCTTGAGACACACGTGAGAGGCAGAGAAGGAGAAAGGTGGAGCTCACAAGACTGCAGCAGAAACTGGCATCCAGTGAGAGCACCACCAGTTTCCACATGCTGCCAAGCACTGTTTGTCACGCAGAGAGTCTCAGCCAGCAAGTTCACACAGGCCTCTGTCTCCCAGCTACTGGTCCATCCCTCCCCCGGAGTTTTAGTTTTTCCCCAGTCCTACAAAAAAACCTGTCTGTGAGCCCTGCTCAAACTAGTGGATTTACTCAGTCTTTGCTTTGAAGTGTCAGCCATCCTGCTCCTCTCCTGTTTCTGTCAATGAGCCAGTAAAGACAAAACCCTTATTCCTGCCGAAAGATCTGTTTCTGTAACATCTGGTTCAGAAAGAGATTCTTGCAGGAAGAAGACCAGGAATTGCTCGATTCCATTCATTGGCTTTTATTATAAAGTTCAGCTCAGCATCCTACCCCCATTTGTTCTGAAGTTTTTAGCGTTTTCCCATTGCTTGAATAATTCTAAAAAAATAGTGATCGCATGTGCTCTGTGCTGCTTATAGCACTTGTCTCCCCTGTCTCTTGTGCCCACTCTCTCTGTCCTCCGGCAGCCTTGTGGTGAACCAGCTACTGGTGAACAAACATAAGGACTGCACCTCCCCCAATTATCTTTTGCTGTCTGCTTACAGTTCATCTTCTCAGAATCTAAGATTCCTATGCTGTGGCTTCACCGATAGATTAATTCAGCGTCTTTGCTGTGTATTATGATCATTCTATCCTTTTTGCTTAATCATATTACCCTGTTTTTTAAACGTCATGCCTTCTGTACTCTGCAGTCTATTTATATATTTCAATAGTATTTGTTGTAACATTAGCTTTCGTGTAACATGACTTTTACATAAAACCTTGTTGCATTTGGCTATGAAATATTCTGATTTCATAATTGATGACTTGGATAGGCTTCTGCAAAATTATAATAATAATTTGTCAGACTTGAACATGTCGTCTTCTCTCTCTAGTATTTCTATTGGTATCCACGAGTAGGTGGAAAACTGTATTGTTCAGAAAACAATGGCTCTACAGACATCTCCATAAACGAACCTTGTAAAAAATACTGGGTGTAACTAAAGACAATATGGTAGCACCGTGAAATTCTGAAACTTTACCATGGAAGAGTTCTAGTCTCAGGTACCCATATAAATTGGATTAAATGGGGAATGATTATGTTTTCTTTACAAATCCTTTATACATTCTGTAGTGTGCGCACCTGCCCGGTAATCTGACAGCTGCCTTGTAGTCAGAAACATCTCTCACTTAGGAATATTGTTGCCCTTTTAAGCAGCCATTACTACCTGCTGGCATTATTTCTCTGTTGCCTCTATTGCCTGGGGATTCAGTGGAATTGAAGTTGTAAACTCCTGTGATGTCGTTGACCAGGAAGGTAATTGAAGGAGGGCAGGTCTTCATTCAGGCCTGGCAGGGGGCTGGAATCGCTGGCCTGCCTTAGCCTTCGGCCTGTCTAGCCTCTGCTTGAGGAGGTCCCAGCAGGAGAGGAGATCACTAAGTTCTCATCAGCCCATCCTTCCCTCCACCTTCCTGGCGGGTGTGTTTATTCCTGCTCTGGGGAATCTCCTAAGATCCGCGAGGGACCGTACCGAGAGCAAAAAAAAAAGCAATGAGTCTTGAAAGTAATGAATACGTTACTGCTGGTGAGCAGAATAATGCACAGAGATGATTTTAAGCAGCTCCTGAGTTTGATCCTTGCAAATAAATATTATTTCTCGCACTGCAGCATGAAATCTGTCTCGTTGTGTCTCCAGGATCCAGTTATGTTGCAACGCATAAACGTTATATAAACTTGAGCTCCGAGGTGTTTTGTATGAAACTGAAATGTATAGAAAACGTGATAAACAACTGCCTATCATTAGTGCAATGCCGATTTTCAGGAATCAGTAATGGCCTCCCCTCTGGTGCTTTTGTGAACAAAGAAAATGAATGACTGCAGACAGGTGCTGGATCTTGGGAGGAGACCTACAGAAACAGCCAGGCTGGCTGCCTCTCTCTGACGGGCTGATGAAACACACCGGTTTTAGCATCCAGCCAAAATAAGCAAAAAGTCATGGAAAAGCAGAGTTAGCAGCACAAATCCTAAAAACACCAGCCATCAAAACCATGACAATATCTCTGAAGTCTCCCAGACAGTTATAATACCATGATGAACAGATAAAAATACATTGAAAAGCTGTAGGTGTCCAGTTTAGTTTTATATAAAGTCTGAGCTTGACTTCAAAGTACCTGTTTTTTATGACAGGGATGATTCATTCTGAAAGCACTGAACAGAAAACTCTAACATTTTAAAATACAGCACAGCTGTTGATCACATTCAACTCTCTGCTGTTATATTGTAGACCAGTAGGTGGCAGTGTCCCTGGATAAGAATTTTCAAAGCAGTATGGCAACAGGGGACACTGTGCTGGAGGTACTGTCCTTTTGATGAGATGCTAAACCAAGGTCTTGACTAACTAGACACCAAAGATCCCAAATTAACCCTGGTGCTCCTACTGTATATAAATGGCACTCTAAGACTGAACAGTCTTGACTTTCTAAAGTTCACCTTTAATTGAATTGAAGAGGTTTCTCTCTCCTCAACCCATCGGCTGTGTAGTGGGCTGGTAGTACAGAACTGTTGTGTGTCACCCAGCTAGGTGCTGCATTTTAGTGTTGGATGAAGTGGTTCTTCTCCTATATCTAAAGCACATTGTGAGCCTTAGAGAATGAAAGTGCAATAAAAAGTAAGTTTTTGATAAAATGTGTCATTGATGGTTACTTTAGGGCAGAATTACATTAGCCATTAAAGTGACTGGTGAGCAGGAAGGGAAGCATCTCATCGCAATTCGTGAAAACTCAAACACGGAGACGTACAGAACTTTCACAAAGTTCACGACTTTGTGCTTAATTGGAAATTGTTCAGTTTTTTTTCTATAATGTAAATGAATGTATTGTAAATGAGATCTAATAACTGGTCTGAGAAATTAGGCCTGCAGTGGCTCTTTACATTTGTGATATCAAACATTTTGAGATTTATTTTTCAGCTTTTAAGATTGGGACATTGACCCCTGTCCTTTTTTTTTACCACCTCAGACTGAAAAAGGAAAATCCGCACAGCAAGCCACAATTCAACGGGACATGGTGACAGAGATGCTGGATGTTTAAATGAGTCTTAATTACGTGTGCACTGCAAACTCTCTTGGCTCTTTGACTTTTCAGGAGAACGCAGTGGCGGATCTCTTAAAATTCCCTCCTCATTCCTGTGCTTCCTCTGTTTTTACAGCTGGTGCTGAAAAAACTGAATTTGCGGCTTTTTAAGTAGAACCTAAACTTGGCAGCAATCAAGCAGCAGGACAGCATCGCGTCATCACAGCGCCGGGTCAAGCCATCGGAGACGATGCCTGCACACTCCTCCCAGCCGAGAGCAGCAGAGGCATCTCTGTTCAATGGCGTGCCTCATCAGAAAGGAACCAGATTACACACAACCAGTTTCCACTGATGGGTGGCACAGGGAATTGTGCAAGAGGACGAAGCAATTACTCTAAGCTCCATTTGTCAGTTTTAGACCAAATAAATGCTTTATCAATCCTCAACAACCTATCCTTAAGTCATTGAATGGTAGAAAGTTTAGAAAGCTAATATTGAGAATAATGCTCTGCATTGGGATTTATTCCAGTGTGCCTGCCCAGAACTGATTTTTCAAACTGTTAACTGCTTCATGATGACAAAAGATTATTTCGACCTGAATTAAAACACACCATATTACATTTGGCTGGAACATACTTTCTGGCACACTGACACCAATGGCAACTTGAACTCCATAGGTGGGAAAGGAATTCATTAGTAACATCTCTTTGGTTGCCTTTGGATATTAATTAAAGCTACCAGACCTCTTTGTGTCACAGAATGTTCAAACTGGGATGATGTCCAGCCCGAGCCTCGTTTTAGTGTACATGCAAAACTCATGAACAAAATACAATGCAAATATCAATAGACGATAGTCAGTGATCTATGATATTCTCTAGATGGCAGGAAATCAAAAGCCAAATGGCACCATAAGTACTAATTCCCTTTATACCAACATAGCTATTACAGTATGCTCATTATAAATGAAAGACAAATATTACATGTCATATGAACATGAAAGTCACAGTCGCTGTCAGAGGGACTCGCTACTTTCCAGCAGCAATGCATCTTGATACAAAACTGGCCTGAGCTCACCTGCATCCATTTCTGTGCAGATTTTACTACCAGGTGTATGACTCAGCTCAAGAACAGGCAATTACCTCCTCAGAAAAGAGATCGTGCTCATGAAAAAGTTCCCAGGCTGTGTCGAGGAGCAGCCAAAATCTTTTATCACGTGTGCCACGCAACACCTTGGACCTGAGCTAATGGCACTTGTCTTACTCTCACACACAACTGGCAGTGTGACACTGTTTCAGCACTTCTTCTCCCATCAATACCACAGCCACTGCAATATTAAGACAGTCCAGTGGGCTAGTAGACTCACAGGCCGGTTAACCTCTTTCATCTCAACAAGCCTGGCAGTAGCTGAAGTTCATTCTTAGAAGAGCCTTAACCCCCTCACACCAAAGCTGAGCAGGTAGGTAGAAGAGAAAACAGTTCACGTCCTATCAGTTAACTCCTCCAAAGCCAGGTTTTTAAAAACAAATCCCCAACAACTTAGAGGTCGCTGAGCAGATCAAGGCAGCAAACTATAATACAGCGCAAGATTTCACCAAACATTCCTCAGTCAACATAACTGTGAATATTAATAAAATATATAATAACAATAAGATCTTTAAATCACAACGTTGTTTTTCCGAAAGTCCTACAGTGATGAAAGGCCAAATGGCCATCTCTTGTTTGTAACCTTAATTTGATTTTTAGTTCTTTTATGCCTCCAGTTTTAGAAGCCTTTTCCAGACTTTTATTTTCCTGCTCCTTATATTTTTTCGTGATCAAGCACCTTATAGTTTAAAAGAAACATTTTCCCCCAGATGGGCTCATAAAGTCATTGTGTCTTTAAAATGTTAATCAACCAACGTTTGGCTGATGCTTTTACCCAGTGCTGAAGGGTATAACAGCAGTGTCTTAGCTGAGGCTTGAGCCCACAGCCTTCCAGTTCAACTGAAACTCAAATCAACTGGGAGACACTAATGACCACTAATGACAGGGCTGTATGGTTTTCTCAAAGTAGTTATGAGCATAATAAATTTTGTTGGTCTCAATATAGGAGAAAAAACACCTTTATCACTTTGGGAGTGCTATATTAAGAGCAAACAGACACGACATAAAAATGTTTTTGAAATCTGGAATTAAAGTGGCTAACATTACAGGCTCTATAAGGGCAATGCGCAGGTGTTGAATAATCTGGCAAATTCTACACAGCTCATTAACTTATGAAGAAAAACATTTTCATTTTTGATATACTGGGTGGAAACATTGTAATGCTGATTAAATGGAGAAAGACAATCTCTGCTTTATCTTTTACATTGTGTATTGTCTTCTTTTAACATTGCACACACATACATTACATTAAATATGTATAAAACATAATTAACCTTTATCATGTGCTGCGTTTCATTAAGATGTGTCCATTAGAAATCTTTTGTGATTCAGCTGTAAATATCTGATTTTTGTTATGTGGGTCCCGCATTCACATTTGTTAATGCACTTTGGTTTTGTTTTTTAAAGAAAAATATTTATCCTGGTAGCTTTGAACCGCATAGCAATGTAACACTTCATGGCAAAATGTGATTTATTGATTTGCTCTTCTAAGTTAAGTATAGAAAATGACTTCAAATAAGAGGAGATTTAAGAATTATTTCACCATATTTCCTTTTAAAAAGGTATTATGCAAACATAATTATATTATTTTGCATATCCATGATATTATCCTTTAATAATAATATTGCACATATAAAGGATAAGGAATATTGCACAATATTGTTTATCATAATAATATCCTTTATTATGATAACGGATATTGAGCAATGGATATTTATTCTTGTCTCTGATCTGTGTTAAAATGTAGTGGTGAGAACTCCACTACGTTTACTGAACAGTCATTCTTGTGAAAAGAGCATGTGTTTCCGTATTACTTGCAAATGTGTACTGTATATGAAAAGTCTGAAACGCATAATTCCTGTAACATATGATTGGAAGAAATTTGAATTTGTTATATAAAAAGTTTAATTTGTTGTAAGGTAGGAAGGAATATTTCTAAATGTTTCAATTATTTAAATAATTTTCAGTGTATAATGGTTATACTTGCATAACCACATTCATTTAGCGTCAGTATTACTATTGTATTTTATATTTTTAAGAAGTAAAAGTATTTAAACAAAGATGTTTAAAGAATATACCTAATGTATTCGACTGTATGAATGATGAGCAGCATCGCTGGTTAATATGAAGTATTAGTAGACCAAAACGGGCTCCCAGATCCTAAACAAAATGCTTGAAAACAAATTCCACATTCACAAAATGAAGAATAAAATAAATATAAAGGTATATTTGCTATGATGCTTTAATTTTGATGATGCCTTTCATTTTATTGAATTATTGTTTGCACTTAGGACTTTATCCCCTTGATCAGTTGTATGAAAATATTGTAAAATAAACAAACTTGCACGCATTAATATTCAACTTTAAAAACACAACAAAACAGAGAAGTTAAGTGGTCATAAAGCATGGTTATAGTGCTTGATTGTATGTAAGTAGCTTATCTTTGGCAACCTGTAGCAGTCTTATCTGTGTGTCTATCGCAATATTCATTGAGATAATGCTTTAATCTTTAAACAAGGTGAGGATAAGGTTTGTGTATCTCCTGGGGGTATTTTTGACTATAAAGGGCTGTTGGGGAGAATCTAAAAGAAGTGATAAATAAGTGTCTCCCCAGGGCTATCTAGTGTGAGCTCCTGCAAGGAGATGATAAAAATCAGAGGTTTGGACAGAGGTGCTGCAGGCTAGACACAAGCCTGTATAGTGGGACCTGTGTGTCTTCAGATAAACAGCTCCCTTTCTTCCAGTTGTGTTTTACCCTGCTGTGTAAAGATGCCATATCAAGATACTCAACTTATTGTATGGTAGTAAATACCAAATGTGATACTGTACTCCATCATTTCATTCATTCTAGTGGCTCTAGGCTATTATTTGATCAAATTCCCAGATTACAGTGATAATCTTTCAAATTGATGTATCTGTCCTCTGTGGCAATGGGTCTTTCTTGAATCAAATGGTGAAGACTCTGATTTGGATATAGTTTTCCCGGGATTTTTCTAAGGTGTAATTAATGACAACAGTCACCCGAAACTGCTTCTATGATACTGACTCTGAAAATGCATCGACAACCACTAACAGTACAAGCTATTGGCACAAACACCTCCCAAGATCAGTCCATGCATCAGCTATCTGTACAGATGCACATCTTCGAGATCTGCAAAACAGAAAATCAGCCCTAATTGTGTCCTGATTTGATAGAATCTAATAAAATTAACTCGTGTGGATGTATGCAGGGACCTTATAAATGTAGCTATTTTTTCCCCACTGACAGCAAGTTTGTCAAAAAGAACAAGTTTTTATTTTTGATGGAATCTTCACAGTTCCCACTGTGACTCAGATTTGAATCTGCTGTTGAGGCCACCAGTCTCCCCGAGGGCTCTGAGGTGACCTATAATAATCACACTATCTAAAACTGCACTCCTCTTAGCACTTCTAAAGCATTCTGCTCTTTTCCTTTTCCAATCTGAAATCCCCATGCTTTCTTGTGATTACATGCCCTAAGTGCATGCAGGGCTACCTCATTACAAAGCCAATTAAACAAAACAAAAGTGACTGTAAAAAGGAACAGTAAGGACAGGTACAGGCCATTTCAGATAGTTACTGAATAAACAGACTGACACAGAAATGCCATAAATCTGCAGAGCTCTATGTGGTATACCTAAAGTATGGAAGGTATAGGTAAAATGGGGATTCTTTTTAGAGACAAAACAATAGCTAATAGCATCTCATTACATACTGTGCAATCTAAGTCATATTGTTTATGTGTGTAATGAATCCAGCATTACACAATCCAGAAGAGTGAAAGAAGTTTTTCATCTAACAAGCTCTATGATGCTTTTTATCATCCAAATAGTGTCAGTGCCAAATAGGAAAATAATGTGTCGTACGTGCATGACGATTTAAAACGAACTGAAATCTGGTTTCCTCCCAGGGTTTAGCCAAGTCACTGACCATCATAAGCATAAACTGTTGTTTTCTAAGACTCTGTCTTAAAAAACAACACATTATTCACATTTATTTCCCTATGCTACACTGAATAAACTGCTTTAGCCTGATGTTGAATATATACATAGACGTAGCCTAATAGAATCCCAGTGGAACTCAACAAAAGAAATATCATTATTGCCTCTTAACTCCTAACTGGGAAGGGTCCTTGTGATACCGTTGCTGGGAGGAGTTAAATGTACTGAACATCATACATTTCCCATGTTGCATCCTCCATTTGTCTCAAGTGATAACGATTAAGAAGCTGGATGTTTGTCTTGGACAGGGACCAAAGTAAACACCCACCTTTGAGGTCATAAAT